AATGGGTGACACGGTGAGCTGCTGACCACAGGGCCAGTAGTTTGATACCACCAGCAGCCCTGAGGGAGGAAGAGGAGGCTTTCTACGCCCTTAAAGAGTCCCATTCTTGGAAACCCTCAGGGGCAGTTCTCGTCTGTCCTAAAGGGTCACTATGAGTGGGCATGAACTCGCTGGCAGTGAGTCCTTCTTTCAGTCTGTCCCAGAGCGCCCCGCCAGCACAGTCCCTCTTCCATCTGCTTTGCAGCCGGGCTCCTCCGTCTGTCCCTGCCTTCTTCTCTTTGTAAAAAGGGCATCCTGCCTCTTCACCTCACATCCGCTCACGTTGACAAGAAACACCTGCATTCCTGAGCGTGAAGCACGCCTTCCGGTCCAGGTCGAGAGAAACGTTTCCGCCAGCGGAAGGCCTCACAGCCACTGTTGGTGAGGACGAAAGGGAGAGGCGGGCGGCTCCAGGTCAGCCCTGAAGCCCACTTGGGCGGCCCCTGACTTCCCTGTGCACAGGGGCTTTTCTGGCCTTTCTCTGGGAGGGCTTCCCATCCCTTGTGAGCCAGCGGATGTAGGGGGCAAGGAAACACTGGGGCCACTGCCCTGCTTATTCCTTTGGGGCAGGCCCATCAGTCCCACCCAGGGTGTGAGGGTCCCTCTGGGGAGCTTTCCCGCAGGAAGGTCTGGCGGTGCCTACAACCAGGTATCTGCCTTGGAGACCTGGCAGGAATGCCAAGAACACGTGGGTCCTTGGGGCTCCGCTTCTCGTGCCCAGCCCCAGCATTGTCTTCAGTGTGGGGGGCAGAGCCCTGCCTGGCTCCCCTCCCCTCCCCCTCTCAAGTCTAAAAGGGTTCCACTTGACACTCAGCGACATTCCTGCTTAGCATTTCCAATCGCCTCCTGCCTCTGGGAGCCACTTTGGAGGGGAAAGGCCACTCCATAAATCTCAGGTGTGACTTTGATGATGGCCATGCAGATTGCTAAGGCACCCACTGGGCTGGGGAGGGGGAGATAATTAGTCTGGAAACTTACTTTTCAGGCGGGAGTCACTGGAAGCAGGTGTCAGGGGAGCTTTTAATGAGGCCCTCGTGACTCAGATGGTATTTCCGCTCTGTCACCACGTGGCTACCACCAGGCTGAGCACGTCCCGAGAGGGAAGGCAGGGACAGAGGGCGAGATGAGAGGGAGAGCTTAGGAGAAGGAGGGAGAGGAGGGGAGAGAAAGAGGAAGTAGGGGTGGGGGAATGCTCTGAGGCTCAATAATCCCACATTCAGTTCAAACTTAGATTTGGATCAACGGTTTAAAGCCTTTTGTGTGATATTTGAACTACACAGGAAGTGGAGCGAAAGATTCACACCACTTTAAAACGGTACAATGGAGCCTTGCAGTCAGCTACCCTGGAAGGTTTCTGGGGTTCTTCTGAAGGTGAGAGGTCCCTTGGAGGAAATGGTGGAGAAACACACCTATGGTTAGCCAAGAGAATGGTGGGAGAGGGTGGGGAGAGGAGGAGAAAAAGCAGTGAGCAAGGATGGCCTTGCGGGGCGGGCCAGTAAATCCAAAAAGAAACCAGGTGGGGCGGATATTGTATTCAGTGGCAAATTCCCTAAAAGGATCTGTTCTCTCCCTTGGTCCTCAACTTCACGGGCTCCCAGCCAGCCTGGCCATTCACTTCCGGGACCCACAGGCTGGCCTGGCTGGCCATTGGACAAACAAAACCATCGAGTAGAGGCTGGTGTCTGGCATGCGCATGAGTGCCAAGACAGCACTGTGTGCCACGGGTCTTTCAGCGGCAGGTCTTTAGGAAGCAGATCGCCAGGCCTTTCCTCTCAGGTGCCTCAGGGTGGGCTTTCGGTTAGCAGCCACGTGTGCTACTGTTGGCAATCTCCAGCACCACAAAACAAAACAGTCCAAACCCATCCTCCTGCACAGAACAGACCTGCCCCATAATGGCTCCACAGCTGCCATCCTCGTGGGAGCCAACCGACCACATCTTTACCTCCTGGATTAGACAATTGCCCCCCACCCCTCCAAGCCTATTGGCTAGCGGAGTGCTTCAACCACTGCACTACTAGGTACCACCCAAACTTCAAAAACAAAACAAAAACTCACCGCCCTCGAGTCCATGCTGACTCCTAGTGCCCCTCTGGGACAGGGTAGAACTGCCCCTATGAGTTTCTGAGACGGCAGCTCTTTCCAGGAGTAGAAAGCCCAATCTTTACCTGGTGGAGCTGCTGGTGGTTTTGAACTGCTCACCTTGTGGGTATATCAACCCCATGAGTAACCACTCCACCACCAGGGCACCACCTAGGGAAACAGAGCTTCCTCTTTGAAGAGCACCCAGTGGGAGCGCTGTTTCTGGTTTGCTCTAATTCAGCGGTTCTCAACCTGTGAGTCTCGACCCCTTTGGGGGTTGAACGACCCTCTCACAGGGGTCACCTGATTCGCAACAGTGGCAAAATGACAGTGATGAAGCAGCAAGGAAATGGTTTTATGTTTGGGGGGTCACCACCACATGAAGAACTGTATTCACGGGTCGAGACATCAGGAAGGTTGAGAACCACTGTGTCTAATTGAAAAGAGGCACACACAGGCAGACAGGATGTTGCTGCTTGTATTTTTCTCCAGGCAGCTCCGAGAAGCATATTATTTACATGGCAGAAAGACTAGGCCATCCCTTTGGGGAGGGAGGCACACACTGGGGCTGGGCAGGCGGGCGGGCGTGTGCTGGGGTCCCTCAACGGCCTCAGTGTTGGCTGTGTCCTCCCTGGGCCAGCCTGTCAGAGCCGTGCCAGTGCCAGCCTGGGAAGCAGCATGGCCCGTCGCAGGTGTGCAGGTAGCAGTAGCTTCAAGCCTCAGGGTGGGCGGGCAGGGGGTGTCCTGGCGGCGGTGGCAGCGGCGGCGGTGTGCCCTCTGCGTTCAGTTGTCTCGGGTGTCAGAGGAGGCACTTCCAAACAAGATGTCACTGTCCTGGGACGTGGTGCTGATCTGCGACTGGGTTTTGATGAGGAACTGGGCCCTCCGGAACATCAGTCTCTGCTGCTCCTGCTTGAGCTCCAAGTAGGAGCGGGAGAAGGTGTGGAAGATGGAGGTCACCGGGAAGGCCATGAGCAGGATGCCGCTCAGGATGCTGCTCAGCGCCACCACCTGACCGGGCGTGCTGCGGGGCACCATGTCCCCGTAGCCCACCGTCGTCATGGTGATGACGGCCCACCAGTAGCAGGCGGGGATGCTGGTGAACTCGCGGCTCTCGGCCATCTCGTTCTCGATGACGTAGAGGAGCGGGGCGAAGAGGGCGATGGCCACGCACAGGAAGAGCAGCAGCAGGCCGAACTCACGGGTGCAGCGGCGTGCCGTGAGCCCCAGCGTCTGCAGGCCCAGTGAGTGGCGGGCCAGGCGCATCATGTACAGGATGCGCAGTGCCCGCAGCACGCGCAGCACCAGCCCCACCTTGTCCAGGTAGCTGTTGCCCGTGCCCGGCTTGTGGCGGCCCGTGGCCGCGCCGTCCACCAGCAGGGTGACGTAGTAGGGCAAGATGGCCACCATGTCGATGAGCGTGAGAGGGCTGCGCAGGAAGGTGAACTTGCTGGGCGCCTGGACCAGCCGCAGGAGGAACTCCAGGGAGAACCAGCCCACGCACACCGACTCCACGATGAATACGTTGTGGCACATCCGGGAGCACCGGCCCTGGGGGAGAGGGAGAGGTCACCGCGGCGTCCCCCTCCTGGGGCCTGTCCCTTCTGCTCCCTGGGTGACCACGCCCAGGCCTGGGGACTGAGTGCCACTTCCACACTGGCAACCCCTGACTTCTCTCCAACTCCTGACCATAGGTTCTGGCTGGCTGCCTCCCTGCCGGGGTCCCCCAGGGCCTGGCCACATCTCAAACCCGCCCACCTCTGGCTCTCCCATCTCAGAGCACCAGTTTTGGTTGAGTGAGTCTATTCTGGCCCCTGGTGGCCCTTGTGTGTCCCCCGCCCGGTGCTTCCTAGGGTTTTCAGAGTCGGGGATCTTTAAGGGGCCCTGGGGGTGCAGTGGCCGAAGCACTCAGCTGCTCTGCAGGAGAAACGCAGGATGGTCTGCTTCCATGGATGTTCTGGTTCTGGAAATCCCGGGGGGGTGGGGAGTGTGCAGGTCTACTGTGCCCTTTAGGGTCTGCTGACTGTTGGAATTGACTGGATGGTAGTGGTGGTTGGCTGGGGGGAAGGAAGCAGTTCACTAGGTCTTTTATGTGCCTCTGAGCAGATTCAAACCTCCAGCTTTCCTGTTAGCTGTTGAGGGTTGGCACCCAGAGGGTCCCCTTCTTGGCTGTTGGCAGTTCCCCAGGCGTCAGCTTTAGCTTCAGCTCTCACCCTCCACCACCCACTCTCCACGGCAGCCGTAGGGGTCCTGTGTGAGCCCAACTCTGAGTCTGTCTGTCCTCTGCCCAGCACTGTCCATGGCCCCCACAGCCCCGCCGCCCTCTTTCTGACTTCCTCCTTACACTCCCCCTTGCTCTGACCTCCTGGGCTTCTTCCCTGCTCCCCTCGACTCCAGGGCAGTCCAGCTCCTCAGCTGGACTGCTCCACTCTAAAGCTCCACATCGTTTCTCTCTCTCCCAGCGAGGTCTTTGGTCAACCCCCTGTTGAGGCATTGTGAGCCTCCAGTTGTTGAAGATGCCCCTCTTGGTCCTCTCCTTATCCAATTCTCCTTTTTCAGTACTCGCCACCTTTTAATAACCTCTGCTGGGTTTATTGTCTGTCTGCCCCGCCCAGAACACTAGAGCCCCATGCCGTCCGAGGCGGGGCAGTTGGCTCCGGCTGTTCATTGCTCTCACCCTGCACCCAGAACAGGCCTGGTGCCTATGGGGAGGAAAAGGGCAGGGGTTTCAAACAGGCCTGCAAACCGAAAAGCAAAGAAAACTGGGGGTGGGCTGAGTGGGGTTGGTGCCCCTGAGAATCTGTGCCTGCCCTGCCCAGCACGGCCTGGCAACTGCCCCCAAGAAAGCAGGCTGGAGGCTCTCATTGGACTTCAAAGAGAAGCTGGGAGTCAGGGCCTTACAGGAGTGTCCTCATTAAAGATGGTGGTGGATTCAGTCAGGGACAACTTGTCTCTCTGGTCTGAGTATCCTGGACAGTCCTGGGATGCTGGACAGTCCATGATGGCTTTGAACCTTCTGTTTAAGGGGGCCTTTGCCCAGAGGGAAAGGGCGAGAGGCTTTAGTCTGGGGCAGTGTGTAGGTTCTGGGGGATGGCCGGTTCTAAGGCCCCTGGCGCCATAGCTCTCTCCCCAGGAAGAGGTGGGAAGCCGGAGGTATGCGTTAATTTGTGGTGCAACTTTTTAAGGTCACTAAGTGCTAGTGCAGGAAGTCAACTCCTCTGAAAAACCTTCCTGGATCTCACTCTTCTGAGTGTCCTGGGCATTGTTGGGGAGACCCTCAAGACCCCTCTCATCTTGCACCTTAGGTTTCTGGTGACTGTCACTAGCCCATCTCCATCCCCCTCCAACTCCTGGTCACCTTGCTTCCCTTGTGGTACCTGAACACGCTAGATACTCAAGTACATGCAGAAGGAGGGAATGGAACTGTGAACCCCACTGGTCCCCGCAAGGAAGCTAAAGAACATCATTTTCATGAGCCTTGGAAAAATGACAGGGAGTCTCACAAAAAAACAACAAAAAAAAGGCAAGTATCCGAAGTTAAATAAAACAGACGTTTTATTAGAACTTTCCGGATAAAACCAGGATCAGAGATATTAGAGGTGAGAAGAGATGAATTCCAAGTACGGATCCTTCCAGTCAGGGTTCAAAAGCGTTGTGGTGAGTAGGGGTGGCACACTGGCTATATGCCAGGCACTGCCCAAGCCACCAATGGGCATTCACTCACTGAACGCATCGCTCACCGCCCCTTGGGGCCAGTGAGGAAACGGAAGCACAGGGAGGTTAGGCGAGTTGCCATCGGTTACAGAGCCAGGGTGGAGATTGGAAATGGGATTGGGATTCAGGCAGTCTGGCTCCAGCCCGCTCTCTTAAACCAAGACTCGGTCTTCTCGCCAACCATTAATTTTACTGGTTGAGTGCGGTTTTTATTATTTTAATACCTCTGTTAAAAACTTGGTGCATTGTGGTAGCAATTGTACAACACTTCTTGATATGACTGAACTGTTGTCCTGATAAAACGGTTTATATATATATATATTATAAATATATAAATATATAATTCAATGCATAAGAAAATAACAGAAACCCTCTATGGGTTAGAAATAAAACAGCGATGGCTACTTCATAATGGACTACGTGGAAACATGGTGTTTCTTAAGTTAAATCGGGATTCATGAAATGCCAACAGCACAGCACAGTGCACACAGGAATGGGGTCCGGGGAATGCTGGCCAGCATGTTATTTATGTCTGCGCTCATTTCGCTAATGCCCGTGGCTGTCAGAACCTCCCAGTCTTTCTTAAAACGTGATCCCAGAAGCCCCCGTGTGTAAGGGCTGCAGACTCATTACCAGCGAGTTCATTTAGACTCACAGACCCTAGAGGACTGAGGAGAGCTGCCCGATAGCTTTTCTGAGGCAGCGGTGATGAAGACAGAAGCAGACTGCCATCTCTCTCTCCCGAAGGGCAGCTGGTGGGTTTGCAACGCTGAGCACTTAACCACTGTGCCACCAGCACTCCGAGGTGCGAGGAAGGGGCCACCAACTCAAAGTCAGGCAGCTGACCTGGGCACTACTTACACGTGGGCTAGAGCCCCACCGAGAGTGGCTGGGTCTGGCCTTATCATAGTTCAGGGAAGCTGGGAGTTTGCATATTTAGGAAACCCCGTGTATGCTGACTGCATCCTGCCAGGGCTGCCCTGGGACCCCAGGTAGCTCTGTGGAAGCCACACAGCTTTGTGCAAGCTGCTGGGCCTCCGTGACTGCATCTGTCATGTCATGGGTGTGTGATCAGCTGCTAACTTTAAGGTCACCAGTTCGAAACCATCAGCCACCCCGATGGAGAACGAGGAGGCTTTCTACTGACATAGTTAACATAGTTACTGAAACTCACAGGGGGGAGGAGGGGGCAGTTCTACCCTATCTGATAGGGTCGACAGTGAGTCGTGATCGACTTGCTGTCAGTGAGATCTTATTTTTGTTTTAATAGATTCACCATTGGCTCGTTACTGTCAGATTCGCGCATGTGCGGGTTCCACCGTACTGAACCTGCTCATAAGTCCTGAAAGCATTCCTGGCACTTTGGGAGTCGGGGCGCGGAGTGGGGGGTGGGGCGGGGCAGTTCTGCGGACACGCGCATGCTCAGAGTAGCGAGATCTGAGCCAGCAGAGATGAAGCGGGCTAGTATTATCAGTATTCGTAGTATTCGCTGACTCAGCACTGGGGGGCAGTTGGGGTAGTTACTGCTCCCGACTCAGGAGGACAGGCTATCCTGCCCCTCTGCTGTGCCAGACACGGTCTGGGCACTGGGCACACAGCAGCGAGGAAGATGGACGTGGCCACTGTCCTCTGGAAGTTCCGTTTTCAAGGGAACTCAGACGGCCCACTTGCCCGCAGGCCGGTATGTGGAGCAGGGCCTATGTGGTGCACGCAGGCTGCCCGGTCCTCGGGGTCCTTGTCCCTAACTGCTGCACGGGCTGTGGGCTCTTACCTGCTCCTCCTCCTCCCTCAGGCTGGGCAAGGTGCTGACAGACAGGTTGATGGCGGTGACAGTGACGAAGAGCACCGAGAGGCAGGCAAACACCTTGCCCGGCAGCCCCGAGTGCGGCCGCTCCACCATGTCGCGCAGTCTCCGCATGCAGTGGCCCAGCCGGCCCTCGCCCTCGGCCGGGCCCTCGCTGCCGCAGTCCTCGCTGTCCAGCGGCTCGTCCTCGTCGTCCCGGCCCACCATCTCGGCGAACTCCTCGATCTTCTGCAGGTAGCGGCGCCGGCAGCAGCCGTCCAGGTGGTCCTCGGGGACGCCCCAGTAGAGCAGCTCCTCCTGGAAGGACAGGGCGCACACCTCGCGCAGCAGCCGCAGTTTGCCGGCCCGCAGGAAGGTCAGGATGGTGCCGAAGGCGCCCGGGTTGCGGTCGAAGAAGAACTCGTTGCAGGTCACGTCGTAGTCATCGCACAGGTTGAGGATGTCGTCGAAGTTGGTGCAGGCCTTGAGCTGGCCCAGGCGCGTCAGCGGGAAGTCGTCCAGCGTGGTCCAGGGCAGCGAGTACTTGATGCCGCCCACGTTGATGATGATCCTGCGGGGCTGGCCGCCCGCGCGGGGCTCGTCCTGCGGCCCGAGCCGCTGGGCCCGGCGGTAGAAGGCGCCCTTGAGGGGCTGACTCGGCTGGAAGAAGGCGGGGTTCAAGGAGGGGTCTGAGGTGCAGCTGAGCACGCTGTAGTCGTAGTCCGAGTTCTCACCCGGCAGGAGGGTCATTTTGGGTCTTCACATCCCTCTCAGGCCTGTGGGGAAGACAGGAGTGAGCCCAGTGAGTCGGGCTGACAGTGCAGGCGCCACAAACAGTCTGACAGCACGAAGCTGCGGCGAGCTTCTCGCGCACTGTGCTCTCAGCGCACAGAACCAGCACGGTCCCCTCCCCTTGCAAACCAACCGGAACAACCCCCAGGTCCATGGCAGTCGGGTCAGTTCTGACGCAAAGCTGACCTTACAGGACTGAGCAAACCGTCTGCTAGGATGACCAAGGCTACCATCTTCAGGAACCACTCAAGGCAGTAGGTTCTTTGTCTGTCTTCTTTCTTTCCTTCTTTCTCTTTCCTTCCTTCCTTCCTTCTCCCTTTCTCTCTCTGTCTGTCTCCTTCCTTCCTTCCTTCCTTCCCCCTTTCTCTGTTTCCTTCCTTCCTTCCTTCCTTCCTTCCCCCACCCCCTCTCTTGTTATTTTTTCTTAAAACAAACAAACCCAAACCTTTATGGAAACAGAGGGACATACCTTCCTCCCATCAGGTAGGTTCAAGCTCTTAGCCAATGAGCCACCAGGACTCTTTCAACATGCAGTGCCTGTACTATTAGCTGCTTATTCTTTTAAATCGATGCAATGTTTTTGCTTATTTAACTTGTAGAGGCAGGTAGCCCAGTGCGGTGGCCTTCAAGCCTACTTCGTAGGCTTATTGCGAGGGTATAACGAATTATGGACATAGGGACATGCACCACCCTGCCTGGCATATTTGCCTGTGGTGCCTTGGAAGAAAGGCCTGGTGACCTACTTCTAAAAACTCAGGCCCTGACAAGCCTGGAGCACCATGCTGTTCTGACAGACACACGAGCTACAGAAGCCACTCTGTAGCAACTGGTGTGTGTTCCTGCCACAGTGTACTAGCATTTACCTTAAGACACCCCTGGCATGTTCGTAAATGGGAAACCAACAGCGCTCGCCATAAATAAAACCCAAATTCACCGCCATCGAGTCGATGCCGGCTCATAGTGACCCTATGGGACAGGGTAGAACTGCCCTTGTGAGTCTGAGACTATAACTGCTTACAGGAGTAGAAAGTCTCATCTTTCTCCCTTAGAGTGGCTGGTGGTTTTGAACTGTGAACCTTGTGGATCAAAGCCCGATGTATCTTAATCACTATGCCATTAGGGTTCCTCATAAAGAAAAGGCCAACCAAACTCACTGCCATTGAGTACAAGCTGACTCATAGCAACCCTACAGGACAGGGTAGAATTGTCTCTGAGTTTCTGAGACCGACACTCCTTATGGGAGTAGAGGCTTTCTCCCAGATAACAATGGCAAAGGACAAAGGAATACCCAATTATCAAGAGAGCCATGTTGGCTCCTGTACCAGCAAACATGATCCTCAGGACACACGGTCGCAGCAGATGGGCACCCTCACTCCTCCAGGTAGCTTTCCTTGGGGCATCCAGTAACATCCAAATTGCATCCAGTGACACCTTCCTCATGACCTGTGGGCAGCACCTGTGCTTTCTCACTCACCTCTGGGACCCAGCCCTGCAAAAACTCAGAGACAGGCTCTTGGCATGAAGCAGCAGGGCCAGGATGATGAGGGTCTGGCTGAGAATCTGAGGGCAGGTTCTTTGCTTAGATTCCTCCCTTCCTGACCTTCAAGGCTAAGTGTTGGGCCCTAGACTGGAACGGCCGATTTCAGTCATAGGTCATACACTGAACTTGGGTCACAAATACTTTGGTTGAAATGGAGAAATTGCACCTGAAGATCCTTTGAAAGCCTGGCCACACTTGGACCAGCTGAGAAACGGCTGTCCCCTTTAGGTGGGGCACACATGTGTCAAGCCACTACCGTCCCTATCACTCCCTAGCATCACTTTCCTAGCATTCCCTCAACTCCAACTCCTGTACGTTTGACCTTGTAGCCATGTGAGTTTGAGATGCCTGGCTTATGTTCTTCAGAAGTAAGTCAATGCATAGCAAAGCAGCAAGAGCCCCATATGTCACCTTTTAAAACCAGTGTTCCTGCTCCTAACCCAGTCTCCAAAGGGAGCCAGTGCTGCCAGCAAAGTTCATCAGAATTCTAACTGGAAACACATCTCCAATACCCGAGGGTCAGTCTGTGCTGTGGACATGTGCAGGACACACACACACTCTTCTGCATGGGCGTGAAATGATGTTTTCAAAGGGGGAGGGCACAGGAGAGGGAGGGTTTCACTACAGAACCCAGGGTCATGGGGCCCATTCCAACTCTTAGCCACCTGGTGGGATGGAGGAGAACTGCCCGGGGTTTCTAAGACTGTACATCTTTATGGAGCAGAAAGTCCACCTTTCTCCCACGAAGCAGCCGGTGGTTTCAAACTGCTGGCCTTATGGTTAGCAGCCCAACTAATGCTTCTTTCACGTTTGAAAGGAGCGCTTTATAAGAATTCTTGAAAACAAAAAACAAAGCACACACACACACACACCACTTCGTTCATTGATCTTTGGGGAAATCTATGGTTCTAGAGGTCGGGTTTTGGGAAACTAGGATACACATACAAATGAAAAGGAGTTGACTTTAGAGTGCCGGGAGCCTGTTTGACTTTACAGCAAACTGGAAGCCGTCTCTCCAGTGAAGCCTGCCAGGGTCCCTGGGAGGGAGAATCCCTTCCAGGCACTGCACATCAGTGAGACCGCTTTTCGATGCTGATGCTCCCTCTGCCATCAAAGACAAGAGTTGGGGGGAAGATGACATTCTATTTGGCGAGGATGGTGACAGAGGAAATGAATATTTCTTTCTTCTCCTAAGCTCCTTGGGGACCTAGGAAAATCCCCACCGCTGTATTACCACCTCTTCTCGCCTCGAATGTCTTCCCGCCCTGCAGCACAAAGCTTTCCCAATCAGTGACTCTCGGTTTCCCCTCTCAGCCATCCCTGTGGTGAGATAGGGCCTCAGCATCCCATATGGAAAGCTGCCCTTGTCTCCTATGGGGGAGCTCCAACATGGGGGCAGTGAACACGGTGAGTCCCCCTCTCAGAAGCTCCTGGGATTTCCCCAGGGAGGAATGGCATACATTTGTGCCCAGGCGCCATGTGCTCTAACAGGCGGGCAGTTTGCAAACCACGCAGGCCCGAAGCCTATGCTTCTGGGAGACAAGTCTACCTTTCAATCAGCTTGATAACCATTCAAAAGACTCGGTATTTTACGATTTCCCTGCAGTAGGAGCTTAGTGACGTCTAAGCACAGGAAGTTTTATAATCCTCCTTCTGAGAGCCTACTCATAAGAAAGCTGAGAAAGTGGGCAAGGGCGTGGGAAATGAAGAGAAATCCAGAGGTAACTTCCATTCATGGATGCAGCAATGACAAGCCCTTAGGGGCAGGTGGTGAGTGTACTTGGCTGCTAGCCCCCAGGTGGGAAGTTCAAATCCTCTCTGAGGTTCAAATCCTTCAGAAGGGCCCTGGGAACCCCTTCCCACAGCAGCAGCCCTTGAACTCCCCGTGAAGCGCACGTGGAGTCGACTCGGGGTCTGTGGGATTTTGAACCCTTCCCACACGTCGGCCCTGTGCCCGGTGAGAGCACACGACAGAGGACAAGGCGGGCCGAGCCCCCTGCCCTCATGGACCTGATGTTCTATAGGGGCCAGTCAGTCATCAAGCAGCTCACAGATCATCTCAGGCTGTGGGGAGCAGGGTGAAGGAGCTCGGACAAGGGACAGAGTGATGAGGGTGGAGGTGCCACTCGTGGAGTGGTCAGGGAGGGCCTCTGGGAGGAGGTGGCCTTGGGGCGGGGCCTCATGGTTAGGGAGAGGGTGTCTGGGGGTGGGGAGGTAACAGCAGGAGGGCTCTCCCTGATGCTGAAATGGGCTTGGATGGTAGAGACCACAGAGAAGGCCAAGGTGGTGGCAGCAGAGGGTGGGTGGGTGGTGGGGGCGAGCCTGCGGTCCTAAGGTGCTGGGCTGTGCAGGACCTAGTGGGATTTCATTCCACGTGGGGCAGGGAGGCCAGGGATGGCTGCCCATGTGGGGAGAGGATTGGACAGTCTGAGGAGATCAGGCTGAATGCTGCTGGGATCTTTCTGGAAAGGCGCCAAAGGCCTGCCCCGGGCACAGGGTGCAGGAGCCAGGGAGAACTGAGCGAGGGACAGGGCATTCGGCCCAAGGAAAGCACTCCCAGCTGCCTTGGCGGTGCCATGTTCTGTGTCGGCAGACAGGTGGCGCCCTGGCAGAAGCATTTCCCGGCTGTGGGATGGTGGAAGTGGGCAAAATTGGGGGAAGAGAGCAAATATGGGGGCGTCTCATGTGTGTGGCTGATGTATCGTTTCATAGGCTGCTGTAATAACGTGCTGCGGAAAAGCAGACATTTTTCCTCTCTGCCCCAGAGGGGAGGCACCTGAATTGAGGCTGGCCATGCTGTCAGAGGATTAATTCCAGGGAGAAGCCTTTCTTATCCCCTCTGTCCAGCTTCTACGGTTCTGGGAAACCCTTTCCTGGACTCATAGATGCGTCACTCCATTTTCCGTCTCTGCAGTCACACGGGCACCTTCCTCCGTGTCTCCCCCGCTTTATAAGGACACCAGTCACACGGGGTGGGGTGGTCTACTCCAACCCAGTCTGACCTCATGCTTACTGAACGCATCTTCAAAGATTCTATTTCCAGAGAAGGTCACTGTCTCAAGGACATAGGGTTAGGATTTCAATGTCTTTTAAGGGTGTGTGGGGGGTGGGGTGGGGAAGAGGAGGCACCACTCAACCCAGAACAGATGTCGGGGAAACCAAGTTGGCCCAGCTGGGCAGCTTTGACCTGGAGGGGCTGGGAGGGAGCACAGGAAGGCACACACAGAAGCATTTGTCGAGGGGCAGTGGCCATACCTGGCCCACATTTCCAGCACCCACTTTCTGACTGAAGCTGCAGATCAGGCCTGACAAGCTAGTGCAGGTTAGCATCCCTGGGGTTCTGTGAGGCGGGTAGAATATCACACACACACACACACACACACACACACACACACCACCCCCACACCCCCACACCCCCGCTCCAAGTTGTCTATGTCTTAATCT